CTTGACCACTCACCGACCATTGGGCCCTCCTCTGCTGGGCCCCTCCGCTTGGGGGAGGCAGTACCCAGGGAGAGTGATCATAGAGGCCTTCCTAAATGAGGGTGCAGGTAAGACTGCAGGAGGGTGGATCCTAGGATCCCCAAACCCAAGACCTCTGTATGACATGCCCTGGTGCATGGCGGTTGGCATGCTCTTAAAACCCGCCTCCTCAAAAAACATGCCGAGGAGACTCTCTTAACAAAACAAAATGATCTCCATCTTGAGGAACTGGGCCTCTGTCATCCCCTCTCAAAAAGCCGACATACTCTGGTCATGTTTGTATAAGAATAAGGGGGAAATGTCAGAGACAAGGCTTCCTTTGTGAGCCATTTTATCTTGACCTTGCCCTGGAACATTTGCGGTTACTTTATCTTCCTGGAACACCTTCTCTGAACATTTTGCACATCCTGTGCTTATGCAAATATCCTGAGGTGTCGCATCACAACCCTGCAAAAGCACCACCCGCCCAACTTCTCCTTCAGCACAAGATGGCGCCGTCCCTGCTTCTCTTCCGGGAGTTTACCTTGCCGCCGGCGCGAACATACACCCTATCAGAAGTCCTATAGCAATACCAGCCAACCAGCCTACACCTCGTCATACTCCTCAGTCCCGCAGCACATAAATACCCCTGTGTGAACAGTAAAATTTTGCAGCTTGATCAGATTTCCTGTCTTGCTGTCTCCTTCGTGTCTCTTGTCCCTTCATTCCCCCCCCTTTCTAGGTTTGCTACCCACGCTGATGTGTCCTGCTGGACGGGACACTGCTGTTGGGCATGTATGCATTTAGATTGCTGTGTTTCTTGGTGAATTGGCCCTTTATCATTATGTAATGCCCTTTATCATTTGTACCTTTCCTTGCTTTGAAGTCTACCTCATCTGAAATTAATATATACTCCTGCTTTTTTTTTTTTTTTTTTTTGTGGTACTGGGGTTTGAACTCAGGGCCTACACCTTGAGCCACTTCAGCAGACCTTTTTTTGAAAGGTTTTTTTTTGAGATAGGATCTGGCAGAAATATTTGCCCAGGCTGGCTTTGAACCACAGTTCTCCTGATCTCTGCCTTCTGAGTAGCTAGGATTATAGATGTGAGCCACCAGCACCTGACTCCTGCTTTCTTTTGATTAGGGTTAATATTGACATATAACCCAGGCAGGGAATTAGAAAACCTGACTGCTGAAAATGAGGACTTAAATGTTGATTAAAAAATCACATCCTAGTCTGCTAACATTAACAGAATGACCTGTGACATACAGCAGAGTCTTTCTTGCTAACCCACAACCCCCAAAACCTATGGAAATGACAGCCTCAGTCTGACCATCCAAGGACAAAACTGCCCCACCCAACATGTGGGAGGAGTTAATAGCACACAACCCAGTTTCCCAGGAAAGACCACGCTCATGGCTGCAGACCCCAATAAAAGTTTGAGGTCTTGAGACTGTCAGGGCAGTGTCTCTTGAGCCTGCCCACTCTCTGTCACCCTTTGAGAGTATTTTTACTTTACTTTCATGTTCCTTTGCATTAATAACCTGCCTCCTAAGTCTCCTCTGTGCCTATCCTTGAATTCTTTCTCTGACAAGACCAAGAACCTTCTGGACGTGATCCAGTGATCTGGATCCAGTAACAATATAGTATATATTTGTCTAAATCCCTCAGTCTGTTTGTGCTGCTATAATAAAATACCACTGATTTTTTTTTTTTTTTGGTAGTTTTAGGGTTTGAACTCAGGGCTTCATGATTGCTAGGCAGGCGCTCTACCACTCGAGCCACTCCAGCAGTCCAGATTGGGTAATTTGTAAGGAACAGAAATTTACTTCCTCACAGTTCTGGAAGCTAAGAAGTCAAAGATCAGGAACTGGCCAGTTTAGTAACTGCACAGGACTCTGATCTCAATTTCTAAGATGGCTCCTTAAACACAGTGCCCTCACACAAAAGGGATGAATGCTGTTCCCTCTAATCTTATAGGTTACTTATAAGGTTACTAATCTCAATTATGAAGGTCACTCTTTAATTTCATCTTTTAATACTGTCACATTGGTAATTAAATTTCAACATACAAATTTAGGGGGATGCATTCAGACCATAGCACATCCCTTTATTTATTTATACTGAGGTTTGAACTTGGGGCCTCACACTTGTTAGACAGATGCTCTACCACTTGAGCCATGTCCCCATCCCACTTATTTATTTTTTTTGGTGGGATTGGGATTTGTGCTCAGGGCTTTGCACTTGCAAAGCAGGCACTCTACCTCTTGAGCCACACTTCCAATCCATTTTGCTCTTGTTATTTTGGAGATGGGGTCTATCAAACTATTTGCCCAGGCTGGCCTCAAACTGAAATCCTCCTGATCTCCACCTCCCAAGTAGCTAGGATTACAGGGTGAACCACAGGCACTCAGCCCCATTTACTGATAATCTACATTTGTCTTTATATAGACAAATTAATTTCTTTTTTGATCAGCTTTGGTATCTCTTTTATTTGGTGAATTTAGACCACTGACATTCAAAGTGATTAGTGACAGAGGTGGATTAATGCCTACCATATCCGTTACTGTTTTCTATTTGTTCCCTTGTTCTTTGTTCCTATTTTGTCTTTCACTCTTTTACTGCCCTTTGTGATTTTATTATTGTATGTGCTGCTGAAGCAAGCACCCTTTGTGGCTTTAAACTGAGGAATTTTATGATTGTATATTCTCTCCTTTCTTAGCATGTCAGTTATACTTTTCTTTCACTCTTTTTTTTTTTTTTTTTTTTAGTGCTTGCTCTAGAATTTACAGTATACTTTTACAACCAATACAATTCACCTGTCTGGATCTTTCTTTTGTTAGTAGAAAATCCTTGCTTACCTCATAGAGGTTATTGGGAGGTTTGGATAAATGATACACCTCTGTACTCTGCACCTTGCTACTGAAATTATTTATTCCAAGAGGATCTTTAAGCCTTTTCCATCAGTGGTCAGTTAAAACTTGATCCTAGAAATAAACTTCAAGACCCTGAAGCAAGTATGACTGTGACACTTAAAAGGGTTAATTCTACATGAGAGTATTCATTATACTGGGAACCAAAATCCAGCAACAAGTATGTAGTCATCAATCCTAATGTTAAAAATGAATTCGGGATATTGGGGTGTCATGAGAGAGATGACACAACTCAGAAGTCAATAGGCAAGGCAAAATTTATTTCTGTAGAGGATGTGCCACAGACAGAGTCCAGTTATAGCAAGCATACTGGGCAGGAAGTCCACTCAGGTTTTATCTCTAAGGCAAATCTGCCCCTCACCCTGATTGAACAGGTTTTGGGTTCACAATCTTTATGATTGGTTAATTTGAAAAGGGGGCACGAGGGACAAGGAACCTTGGGGCAGTGAGAGTAAAGATTTACTTGAACAATAGTTGCCTTAGCAGTTTTTGAAACTAGGGCACTTGGCAATAACAGGAACTTGCTCAGCTCAGAACAGCCCTTTGTTTAAAACAGGAATTTACAGGGTTAAGTGATAGCTCATAAAGCATGTAGGCAACAATTCAGGGAAGTTAAGCTGACATCTGTACAATGATAATATTATACATTAACCCATTAGACAGAAAAGACCTGACTTCAGTGGATTCTTACAACTGAAGGCCAAGGGGCCACAAAACTATTTTTTTTGGCCTGCCTGTGTCATGTTTTGAGAGAGAGAGAAATTAAACTAGATGGTAATGTTTAGAAATTTGTATATTTTAACAATTTGGCTTTCAGAAATCTAGAAAATGGGAAGATATAGCAACCTGGTGTTCTAATTCCCCTAAGACCACAATCAGCTGGAGTGAGTATCTGTACCTGTAAAAGCAAGAGCCCTCTGCTCCCTATTGCCTCACTTGTCCTTGGCTCCTTCTGCCCAAGCTATTGTAGGCATGTGCTGCCTTAAACCACAGGAACTCATCTGAGGATTATGCCCATCCTTGAGCAACAGAGATGACCTCAATGTCCCTGAAAATATCCCTGCCATTGACAGAACATACCGGGAGCATAGGTTTTCGAATACTTCATTTACTCTTCAAAGCATTCCCCAAAGGTGCAAAACGTACACACACCACCTTTTAGCGCGCTTCTAAAATGGTACAGAAACACGTGTACGTGCAAACTTTTTTGATGGGAGGAGGAGGGATGTGGAAGAAGAGAGTGTCCACAGCTTTCAGGAAAGCCCAGGCTTTGCAGCCAAGACAATGCAACTGACTTGTGTGGGCAAGTCACTCATTCTCTTGGAATCCCTTTATTTCCCCCAATAAAATTGAAATAACCTACCTACATATTTACCTTGCAGGGTTGGGCGAATAAGAGAATGATTTCAAGCATCTGCATCAGTAGGATCTACTTCTAATTTTTTTTGGTGGTGTTTTTTGTTTTTGCGGTACTGGGGCTTGAACTCAGGGCCTACACCTTAAGCCACTCCACCAACCCTTTTTCGTGAAGGGTTTTTTGGAGATAGGGAGTCTTGCGAACTATTTTCCCGGGCTGGTTTCGGACCGCGATCCTCTTGATCTCTGCCTTATGAGTAGCTAAGATTACAGGCGTGAGCCACCGGCGCCAGGCGATCTGCCTCTAATTTTGAGGTGGCAAACAGCTGAGGGCACTTAAAGAATGCTAGAACTGTCCAAGTTTCTGACCCAAACCTGCTAGTAGGTGATGGCGCCCCAGTCAGCTAGGTTTCTTCCTCTAGGGCGATGCCTGGACAGGTCACTTCCGGAGCAGGCTTGTGTCCCATTCTCGCCTAGGTTCTAGGGTCCACAGAGACCCTGCGTGAATCTGTGCGCGGGGGGCAGTGAGGGCAGTGCGGACCGGAAACAGAGAAGACGCGGCGCATCCAAGGGAGCTCTGAGCTACGCTTGCAGCTCCAAGAAGCCAAATCCAAGCGAGCTGCAGCGCCCCCCCCCGACGACGCGACCAATCAGCGGCCGCCCCTCCAACGCCCCGCCCCTCCCAGCCAAAGCCCGCCCCCGCCGAAGCCCCGCCCCACCCCGCTAGTAGCTTGTCCCGCGAGAGACACGGCTGAGCGCTACGGGACGCAGTGGACATGGTGCGCGGCAGGATCTCTCGGCTCTCGGTCCGCGACGTGCGCTTCCCCACCTCGCTCGGGGGCCACGGCTCGGACGCCATGGTAAGCGCTGACCGACTGCTCAGGCCCCGCCCCGCCCTCGCTGGGTCCGCGAGGGGAGGTCGACAACTTTGGAACCACTGTGTCTGTAAAGTGCGAGGTGGGCACAGGGCAAGACAGGCCCTGTTCTTGTCCCAGGAATGTAATCACCCAGAAACTCTTCACCCTCCTGGGATTTTCCTTTTTTTTTTTAATTTTCTTTTTTTGATTTTCCTTTGTTGGATCTTACAATGCCTTGGTTTTACTTTTTACCGTTCAAGTTTTCCTGGAAACAGTAGAATATGCAAGGGTTTTGTTCAGTCCTCATCCAAAAAACTAGAACAGAGCGCTGGCTGCTCGGTACCGAGGACTCGACGGGGTTTGCAGGAGACCAGGAAGCCCCGGGCTGGGAGTTGGGGCTGGTGATCTGCTGCTTTCACAACTTGCTGTGTGACTTGGAGAAGACCCGAGCTCTCTGGGCCTCTTGGACCCATCATTGAAATGGGTCCACAGTCGGGCTTGACAACTGTGGGTCACGTGAGAGGACGCGCACATGAAATTACTGTACCTACAAACACGGTTCCAAAGGATTTGTCACTGTAAAGAGTTATACATATATAGGCTGGGGACATGGCTCAAGTGGTAGAGTGCCTGCCTAGCGAGTACTGCGGCCGACTTCACAGCCCCATACCGCCAAAGACAAAAACAAAAAACTAGGCATATGTCAGTTTTGGTTTTGGTTTTGTCTTTTGTTTGTTTTAGGGAGCTGGGGGAAGGGGGTCGGACCTAGGATTCACCCATACTAGGCAAGTCCTCTACCATGACTTCATCCCCAGCACTATGTCAGTGTTAGATGCAGTAAAGGAAGGGCGTGGATTTTGACTCCTACCCAAATGCTGAAGGGCTGCTCTGCGCACTGATAATGTTAGAGGGACCCTTTCGCGCCCCCAACCCAACTTCTAATGTGCTTCCTAAGAATGCGAAGGCAGAGTCTTCACAGGGCCTGTTCCCCTGGATTCTTACCTCTCCTCCTGGCCCACCAGTGAGATGGTCACACTAGAAAAACGAGTTGCATCCCTATATAATGAATATATGGAAATATAGCCACAAGTAGAAAGAGCAATGTTAGGGAAATGGTTACCTAGAGAGGGGAAGGGAATGGGGGGTACCCAGGGATCCTAATTCAGTGTTATGTTTTACTTCTTAAACGGTAGATAGCAAACTGGTGTTCATTACATTCTCTATGTTCGCTCCGAACCTGAAATTATTATAAAACTTGGTCTCTTAAAAAATGTGCTAAATAAAGTTATTAAATGCATAAGAACGTCCTTTATTCTGATATTAACTTCTTCCTGCTTTTTGTTTTTGCAGTATTGGGGGATTGAGCCCAGGGTCTTGCACTCTATCATTTGAGCAGCCCTGTTCTTGCTTTTTAAAAATCCCTGTGTGTCCTTTCTTATATCATGGTAACTGACTTTTAAAAATCCAGTCACAATCCTTTGTGAACTTCCACATAAATATTTGAAATTTTATTGCAATTTGTAAAATCCAGACACCTTGACTGAATGCTACTGCCTTTGCCCCTCAGAAGTAACTGGAGTAAACCACACAATCTCTCCCAAGCCTTGGTTTTCTCATCTGTAAACTAGGACCATCCACTTCACAGGAGCCTGCAAGGAGCCTGACACACAGAAGGCCTTCAATAAAAGTTGGCTGTAATTGCTGCTTACATATGAGGAAACTGAAGCAGAAGAGACTCTGACCTAGACTTGTTAAGATAACCTGGAGAATTTAAGAAATGGAATTTGTTTCTGGGCCTGTGGGTGTATGAACTCTAGGGGAGGAGAGATTATCTGCTGCCTGTGTCGCAAACTCATAAATACTTGAGGCCATTTTCTCAGGAGGTAGGGTGTGTGTAGCATACTGATTCTTAAGGGCCTTCTTGGTAGAATGTGCTACTTTGTAATTCTCCAGGGTTATGGCTTCACTCACCCTCGGGGCCTGCTGAACTCAGCACTTCAGCTACTTTTCAGCATTCAGCAGCAGAGTGAAACTTCCCTTTGAGAAGTAGGATGTTTTTTCATGCACAAGTCCTTAAATGGTCCTCACAGTCTGTTAAAGCAAAAGTTCTTATTATTTCTTTGTTGTTTGTTTTTTTGGAGGCAGTACTGGGGATTGAACTCAAGACCTCATCATTGCTTGGCAGGTGCTCCACCACTTGAGCCATGCCCCAGCCCAAAGCAAAGGTTCTTTTGATTTATTTGTTGTTGGTTTTTTGACAGTCCTGGGGCTTGAACTCAGGGCCTCAAGCTTGGATATTTTTGAGATAGTGTCTCGCTTTTTGCCTAGGGTGGCCTTGAACCACAATCCTCCAATCTCAGCCTCCCAAGTAGCTAGGATTACAGGCTTGAGCCTCTGGTGCCTGGCCAGAGCTGCCCGTATGGAAGAGTCTGTACTTGACTCTGATTCCTCTTGGGCTCTCTTTGTTTCTGCTCCTGGTCACCGAACTTAAAATTACTGCTCTGTGCCTGTGATCTTGTCCTTTATATCTGTTTCTTACCTAATTTGAAATCCTGTTTCTCGCCTTCTCTTGGAGTTGCCTTCATTATTTCTGCTTCCATTGTCCTTTACCCTACATTTCACATGGTCTGCTGCCCCTTCTTCCTCCTGAGTCTGTCTCCTTGCTAGCCTCCCCCATTTTCCCTCCTCAAGACTCTCCCATCTCACTCCAAGCTCCCACTATGATTCCTCTCCATGTTGGCAATTTCTGGGCCCACCTTTATGCCAGAGTCCTGGATCCCCTTTCTAGATCTTCCTTCTTACCTCACATGCCATCTGGACCCTTCCAGAAAGATTTTTTCCACCTTCATGCTGAACATGGTCTAAGTCAGAACTCATCATCTTTCATTCCCACCCCCACTCTCCTGATCTACTAGTCACAGATTCAAAAGCTTCTGATTACTTTAGACTCATCATGTTCTTTTGACTTCTCCTAAGGTTTCCTTTTCTCATTGCCACTTCTTATAACCCAGAAACTGCTGATGGGTCTTTAATTCTTGGAGTCTCTCTCTTAGCCTCATTTCTCAATTCCAACATCAGGAACCCAGTGACTATGGTAAGCCAGAATGGGTACCAGCCCTTGAATATACCTTTTCCTTATCTGTCCACTTTACTCCTTTCACTGCCACTGTTACTGTCTTAGTCTGTTTTGTGATGGTGTAACAAAATACCCTGAAGTTGGATAATTTATTTTAAAAAATGTCTATTTATCTCATAGTTCTGGAGGCTGAAGAACATGGCTAGGCTTATAGTGAAGGCCCAGTGTTGCATTGTGTGGTAGTAGAGAAGCAGAGGGAGCACCTACTCATAAGCAAGGAGTATATGTATAAGAGACACCAAGAGGGGGTGCCTGGTTGGATTTATGACAGGCCATTCTCATGATAACTAACCCAGTCTCCAAAAAGACATTCAGTGGGGGTAGTTCCCACATGACCTAACTACCTCTTAAAAGTCCAACCACCTCTCAGCACCATCACGTTGGGAACCAAGCCTTAGCATGAGTTTTGGTGGGGACAAACCATACTAAAATCATAGTAGTTACCTCGACTAAGGTATTCTTCCCTTACATATCCTTTATATCCCTTCCCCAGTGCTAGAAGCTTCCTGTGCTCCACTGACCACCTTGGATTCCATCTTCAAAAACCCTGCTCCAGCTCTGAGTGCATTCAGCTGCCAGGGACCTCTGCTTGCCTCTCCTGCTTTGCATCTCTTCCAGGGACTGCCATATATTATTAGAATTCCGGTAAAATGTCTTCTCACCTAACTTCCTGAAGGGCAGACATATCTGTGTCTGCCTCAGTAACCTACCGTCTCTGGCACATAGCTAGTGCTCAGTATTGCATACCCTGAATTCCCTGCACTGGACTTTGACAACAACTCAGGCCTCCTACCTGTCATGTACACTCCCTACCTCTTCACTGAGTACAGGAATTTGCATTCTGCCTCCATAATTTATTCATGCTATGACCTTGGACAAGTCACTATACCTCTTTAAAATTCACTTTCCTTGCCTCTAAGACAGAGATAATAGCATCTGTTTTATAATACTATTGTGAAGATCAAATGAAATAAGGTTAAATTCTTAGAATGTGCCTGGCACAATAGACATAGTTATAACATGAGTAATGAGGACAGTAATAAATTGGCTATGACAATTTATTGTCATAGCCTTATACAGAAACTCTTCAATAGTTGCAACCTACATTCCTCATATTCAGATCTTCTGCCTGGCTTTTTTGGTATCCAATAGCTGTCCCACATCATCTATTGACCTTACTGCTATTCATTTCCAAGCCAGTACTCTCAGGGGCCTTTTGCTTCTCCCGTTGCAAAAAACAACAACAGCAACAACAAAAAAAAGCCTCTGGGTTTTGCATTGCTTTCCCTTGCTTGGAATTCTCACCTGCACCTTTGCCCATTCATAGGGTCTTTGCCCCCTCAAGAAAAATCCCCCAACTTCTACTTCCTCTATGCTTTTCTTCCCTTGAGCTTCTATGTTATTTATAACCTTCTTCTCTCTTAGCTTGTTCTTACCTGGTTTTAGATTTTAGTTTTCTCTCCCTATTATATGAAAATTCTGTAGTAATAGACTTTAAAAAAAAATCTACATCCTGCCCATCAATAAGCCATGTTAGGTTTCATAACAGTTGTACAATAAAACCATACAAAAATACTGAAAAGCAACAAAGGGGGCTGGCGGAGTGGCTTCAGTGGTAAAGTGCCTGCCTAGCAAGTAGGAGGCCCTAAGTTCAGTTCCCAGTGCCACCAAACATACAGCCAAATGAAAACATGGGTTAATTTGCTTTGAAGCTTTATTCCTTTATTTTACCCAAGTAGTCTCTGACTTTACACTTTTGTCAGCCCTGCTACAAACTGCTGCAATGGAAATCAGTTCAAAAAAACCTTTTTTTGGTATACTGGGGTTTGAGCTCAGGGCTTTATGTTTGCTAGGAAGGCACTCTGCTACTTGTACAATGCCTCCAGCCCTTTTGCTCTGGTTATTTTGGAAACAGTATCTCACTTTTTGCCCAGGCCAGCCTAGAGTACAATCCTCCTGTTTTAGACTTCTCACTGATGCTAGGATGACAGGTGCATGCCACCACGCCTACCTTTTTCCATTGAGATGGGAATGACAGACACATGTCACCATGCCCAGCTTTTGGTTGAGATGGCGTCCTGCTAACTTTTTGCCTGGGTTGGCCTCTAACCCCCATTTTCCCTATCTCATCCTCCCAAATAGCTAGGATTACAGGAGTGAGGCACTGGTGCCTGGCTTAACATCAGTCCAATTTTATGCAGCAGCTTTCTGAAACCTTGGCTAATTCAATTTGAAGCTGCTTGTGAATGTGACTATATTTAGAAAACTGATTAAAAACTCCTGGGGTTAGGTGTGGGGCATGGTGGTGCATATCTGTAATTCCAGCTACTCCAGAGATGGAAGCAGGAGGATCAGTAGTTCAGGGTCAGCCTGGGCAAAGGTAGTGGCAAGAGCCTGTCTCAAAAAAAAAAAATTAAAGGCCAGTGGTGTACCTCAAGAGGTAGAGCACTGGCCTAGCATGTACAGGGCTCTGGGTTCAATACCCACAAAAAAAGAAAGGAAAGGAGAGGGAGAGAGAGAAAAGAATAAAAGAAAGAAAGAAAAGAAAACTCCTGGGTTTAAAATTGAGCTGGACGCCAGTTTTTGGCATCCTTGCAAACTGGTATTAAAAATGTGTACATTTGGTCTCTCTGCTTCCTGGCTGCCATGAGGTGAGCAACCTCTGCCACACATTCCTGCTGCCATGATATTTTGCCTTGCTTCAGGCCCAAAGCTACAGATCCAGCCGACCATGGACTAAAACCTCTGAAACACCAAGCCACAATAAATCTTTCCTCCTTAAAAAAAAAAAAAAGTATAGATTTAGGGCTCACGCTGGAGCTCAGTAATTGAGTTTGTGCTTAGCATGTACAAAGCCCCGACTTGCTTCCCACCTTCCAGCAAAACACATACATTGCACTTGTTGAATTAATGTGAGTTCTTCAGGAGCACTTTCTTTTGGTCCATTCAGAGTTCCTTCATTTTCTGTGGGGTGCAACCACTGTTCTGTCACATTGGAGCTCTTGGGCACCCTCATTGGATTTTCTGTTCCTGAGGGGCATCTCATGTTTATTCTGGGTTCCTCACCTTTGCATTTTGGGTGGGGGTCTCTTTCCTGCAGCACACAGACCCTGACTACTCTGCTGCTTACGTTGTCATAGAGACTGATGCAGAAGATGGACTCAAGGGCTGTGGCATTACCTTCACCCTGGGGAAGGGCACTGAAGTTGGTGAGTTGATCAGTCTTGAGGTACTAGAATGTTTCATTTTCCCCATTTAGATTCTCGTTCTGGTATTTTTCTCTGTATTTACACTGCTCAAGGGGAATAAAAACAGTGCTTCATGGTTTGTTACTTGTTTTGCTGGGAAAACCCAGAAAGAGGCAGCTACTCTTTTCTTGCACTTATCTATAGATTGCCTAAAACCCTTGAATCTGGACCCATTTCTCTGTGTCAGATGGTAACTATCAGTATGTTCCTAAGCTGCTTTCACAGAGGAGAGCTTTGAGGACCTGGACCAGGCAAGTGACCAGGGTATGAGAGGGAGTGGAGGTGAGCTCATGCAATGAGACTTACTGTGATGTCTCCTTGGCTCCTAAGATGTTTCACACCAAGCTGGTTCCAAGAGCACATTCTTTGGGGTACACGTTGAGCAGTATATAAGTCACCTCCACCCCCCCCCCCGTTTTTGTAAACTGAAGGCACTGAGCATAATGGAACACATCTCAGAGCTGCCAAGATCTCAGAGGGGATGTTGAATCCTCTCGTTTTTTTTTAGAAATAGAGAAACTAAGCACTACTCAGCAATGGCAGTGTTACGAGAATCTCAAACACAGACATGGGACACCAAGGCTTTTCAGTAAGCAATATTTATTAGCATGCCGGCAGCAGCTCAGTGGATTCACATCCAAAGGCTGAGCCCTGAGAACAAAGGGGTCTCACCTTATATACCCTTACAAGCAGGTTACAGAAGCAAAAAGCAAGGTTTAACCCATATATGGTTGCATGCAACTCTTATTGGCTACTTCACCCCAGTGCTATGTGACCTTCTAAGTTTTCTCTCCCTGCTATGCCATCCCCTCCCCCCGCTACATTATCAGAACACAGACTTGCTTGTTTCTTTTCTTTTCTTTTTTTTTTTTTTTTGTTTTTGGCCCTCCTCCCTGCTACATTATTCCCCCTTTGATGCTCGGACCCATCTAGGGTCAAAGAGCATCATCTTCATTTAGGGGTTTGCATTTTAATAGCATCATTACATGGGCAGCTGTTTTTCTCTCTGTATTGGCCTCTATAATGCTATAATGGTCCTGATGGACTGCAATACCAAGGACCAGACAGGGTAACATCAAACCTGCTCCTAAGACAAGCCCCATTACCCCGCTTTCCAGGACAAATGTAGCCTGTATTGTTTACTTTACTCTGGGACTTTTAGTATCACTTACTGGCAACCTCACAAACCTGGGGGATATACAAGCCAACGATGTAACACTGACCTATCGGTGGGTGAATGATACAAAGTATGGCTGTGCAGAGGTCCCACAAATTACTCTCTTATAACATTCAGTACATGGGGAAACCTTGCAAGGGCCAACCCAAGTGGTAAGGGTCCAAGTGTGTAGAGAACAGGGGTGTTTCCCATGTTCGGGCTTTCCCCATGCGTAGACTAGTCAGCATCCTGAATGACTGGAGCAGGGCTGTTGTTCCATTGTGCCTGGTCTCCTGTTGTCTCCTGGGAAGCAGAGTCCGGGTCAGGGATGCATTCCCACTCAGGAGAGGCTGGCTTTACTTGGCTGTGGTGGATCCAAGGAGCAATTTTTTCTACTTTAAATGTAGGAGAATAGACAAGATAACAACAAAAGGACCCCTGCAATGGGGTTTTCGTGGTTGGACATTTTATTCTTTTACCCAGACAGTATCTTTTTGTTTTGTTTTGTTTTTTTACTGAGTAAAATTACCATGGCAACAATATATTATCAGTATATATGTCCAAGAAAACACATTGTTTAAAAGAAGTTAAAACCACCATCTTTACATGTCAAGGACATGTTTACAGCCAGTAAAATAGTCATTTTGTCTTTATTTAAGTAGAAGACTCTGTCTAAAAATATGAGTTTGTGTCTGGAAGGGCTTTAATGACAGATGGCCACACGTGTATGACAACTGTTTCCTCAATCCTCTCGGTCTTGGTTATTTTTGAGAGGTGTGGCACAAGTGACTCCATTTCAACTTTGATGGCATTCCCCTCTTTTCTCCAAGCTGTTTGTCTCTGAGCAGTCTCTTCTGAAGATCTTTTTCTCATCCAAGTTCTATCAAGGCCCGACCCTGTTTAGCTTCCGAGACCAGACGAGATTGGGCATGTTCAGGGTATATCTGTAGACTGAAGATATTTCCTGACTGGTCATTTTTTTCCCTCATCATGAGGATTTGCTCTTTCCTGGATTTTGTTTGTTTGGTTTTGGTCCCATATTGGAGGTGGGGAGTGACGAGCAGATCAGGTGGGAGTCAGTACCAACTAGACCTTTTGGCCAAATTTAAGCAACAATGAGGCTTAAAAGGAGTGGCCCTTAGGCAGGGGGCTTCTAGGCAAAGATAATACAAAACAAAACAGAAACAAAACAGACGTCTGAAAAGCTAACCTGGTTGACACATAAGTACTTATTAGAGTCATTTTTTGTGGACTTGATTGTCAATGTCCCAGAAGGATCAGAACTGTAATGACAAAAACTTAAAGAGTAATTGTTAAAATTTTGATGGACAATTTAGCAACTAACAGAACAGTATATCAGTACCATTAACTTTTTGTTACTGTGTTTATCTAAATTTTGTATTTTAGAAGACTTGATATACTTGAAAAACATAAATATATTTAGTATACAGGAACCAGCAATGGCATCACAGCTCTATAGAGGTTATATATACATATTAGTTTAGTTGTTGCTCTTGAAGTAAAACTTTAGATTTTTTTCATCAGTTGAGGGGGCTGGAAATCAGTGTCAGTGACCCCAAATAGCCCAGTCACAGACACATATAGGTTACCGACTGCATTCGAATCACCCAAGACAACAGCTGTTTAACCATGAAGTCATCTAGACAATTTTGCATAAACCAGCTCTTTTTTTTTTTTTTGCAGTAGTGGGGCTTGATCTCAAGGCCTTCATCTTGAGCCACTCCACCAGCCCTATTTCGTGAGTAACCAGACAGGGTTACTCAGGGTCTCTGGGAGGTAATCAGGCTCCCCTTCTGCCTCGTGAAGGGAGGTCTATTATTCAAACCCAGTTCTTACCAGTCTGATGGGCGGGGCTCCCAGTTGGTTCCTGAGCCTTGTCTGGGTTCCTTTGTTCCTTCATTGGGTCAACAGGTCCACTGGAGCCTGGTGGGATGTTCTCCCGACAAGCTGGGGATGCCAAGTCCCAGCGACAAGGAGGTGATAACCCTGTCTCCGACTCCTGGACAAGTCCCCAGTAATGTTAAGGGAATCTCAAACAGACACATGGGATACCAAGACTTTTCAGGAATCAATATTAGAGTGCCAGCAGTGGCTCAGTGGATTCACATCCAAAGGAAGAACAAAGTGGTCTCACCTTATATACCCTTGCAAGCAGGTTACAGAAGCAAAAAGCAAGGTTTAACCCATATATGGTTGCGTGCAACTCTATTGGCTACTTTACTCCCAGTGCTACATGACCTTCTAAGTTTTGTCTCTCTGCTATGCCATCCCCTCCCTCCTGCTACATTATCAGAACGCAGACTTGCTTGTTTCTTTTTTTCTTTTTTTGGCCCTCCTCCCTGCTACAGCAGAACCTGACTTCCCAAAGCACTTTCTCTTTAGATCATTTAAATATAGCTTTTTATTGTGAGTATAATACATGCACATGGTATAGAATTGAGGAAGTACAAAAAGATGATTTTTGCCACATCAATTTCTTTTTTTGTCAGTACTAGGTTTTTTTTTTTGTTTGGTTGGTCTTTTTTCTGGGGAGGGGGTTTGCAATACTGGGGCTTGAAATCAGGGCCTATACCTTGAGCTACTCCACCAGCCCTTTTTTGTGTGTGTGAAGGACTTTTTTTTTTTTTTTTTTTTTTTTGAGATAGGATCACATCTGTCATCCTAGCTACTACAGAGGCTGAAATCAGGAGGATCGTGGTTCCAAACCAGCCTGGGCAAATAGCTTGTGAGACCCTGTCTTGAAAAAACCCTTCACAAAAAGGGCAATGGAGTGGCTCAAGTGGTAGAGTGCCTGCCTGCCTAGCCTGCCTAGCAAGCATGAGGCTTGAGTTCAAACCTCAGTCCTACCAAAAAAAAAAAAAAAAAGTGTGTGACAGGCTAGAACATAGGAAAATAGGCCATGGAACTTCTCAGACCTCACGTGGTTCATTCTCCGCATGTTTCAAGCCAAACTCCTTATCTCAGCCCAGTACTACAATGGAAGGTGATTCCTCCTTCCATTATCCCTCAGAGAGAAACATGAATATTGATCACACCCTAGCCTGAACTACCACCCTAGCCCAGGGACAGCACAAACCCTTCCCAGAACTGCTCAGGTTTTTCCCCTCCCACAGGTTAGTGCAATCTTTAAAACAAAACAAAACAAAACAAAATCTGGTAGTAGAGAAAGCTCTCTGCTTCCAAGTCCCACCTGGCCAATCATGGCCTTTTGTAATTTCTTTCTCTAACTTTTAATAAGATTTTATTATCATCCTCACTAAGTCTACATATCCTGCCTTGTCTGGACACATCTACATGTGAGAATCAACTAAACTGGGTCTTTTCTGTCAAAGAGCTAGCTTGGTGGTAGAGCATGAGACTCTTAATCTCAGGGTCCTGGGTTTGACCCTCTACCCACCAGTATCACACTATGGAATATGTCTGTCATTGTGTGATATTAGCTAATTTCCCCAGTTGTCTATGTGCTCAGTGGCACATTGCCTGGCTATAAAGTTTCTGGCTTTAAGCAGAGAATTGTTTGTCATCAGATGTCCTAAAACTCAAATGTCTAGTCTTAGGATAATCATTGTCTAGAGGAATCTCTGTTTTAAGGTCCCCTTGGCCCACAGGTTAATTATATACTTGGTGCTGCCATTTTAGGTAAACAGTCATTTCAGGCCTCAGTTTCCCTGGAATCCTAGAATTCCCACCTCATGGGTCATCTCTTTGTCTTTGGGTACACCAATCAAATTAAGTCTTGGGTTCATGCTCTCCAATTATGTCTGCTCTTCCCCTATGCCCTCCC